CAGATCTCCCCTGGAAACCATTTCAGAGTTAATTGGGTATATTGTTCTGAGGTGTGAATGAGCAAAACACACTTTTTATGCTACAAAGAAAATTTAAAGATGGGAACTTTTTTTTTTTAATGTAATGGGAAAATTGCTAAGGAAGAGATTTCAGTTAAATTTCCTCTTTTTGAAAAATCATACTGGCCTTTAGTAACTAGTTTGACATTCTAAATATGCACCAGGAGAGTCAGCTGTTAGGCGGTGCGAGGCTTTGGTCGCTGATTCAATTTGGCAGAGGTTCGGCCCAATTTGTTGGCCAAATCTCCAAATCCGAATTGAATCAGGAGAGCCTTTAATCTCTCTGAATTGAATTGGAATGCTCTGAATCAATTCGGAGAGATTCGGAAAGATTCGACAATTTGGACATAAACACAGCTTTAAATGTCTTTTCTACATACCTCAAGGTACCAGGTGACTCATGAATGCTGAGATGGTGGAGCATCGCACAGGAGCGCAGGGGGTGGTCCCCAGTGCATTCAGCAGCAGACCTGGATGTGAACCAGAAGCACTTCTGGTCCACTTCTGGGTCCGCCAGGGAGTACGTGGGGATCCCCCCCACAGCTTGGTGACTGGTGCCTTCTGGGTCTGGGGAGGCACCCAGGGTCCCCCCACAGCTGATCGCTGGGTGCAGGGGCGGGGGCCCTGGCGCACTAGGTGGCGGACCTGGAAGTGGACCAGAAGTACTTCCAGTCCACTTCTGGGTTCACAGCCGAGCATGTAAGGGGGCCCCCCCACACTCCTGTGGGACACACCATCTGCCTCAGCATTGCAGCATTCATAAGCCGTGCCTGGTACCTTGAGGTATGTAGAAAAAACATTTAAAGCTGTGTCTATGGCCAAATTGCTGATTCTTTGAATCAGGATCAAATCTTCAGATTCAAATTTGGCCAAATCGAATCAGGGACAGTGATCTGAATCAACTGAATACACCCCATTTTGCAAACCCCTATAAGCTATGCCCCTGGTGTGATGTCAGAGTGCCTGCCAGCCATTGACTGGCCTCTCTATTTAGGAGCGTTAGTATTGATCAATCTCAATCCTTCCAAATTGGTAGGAGACCATCTAATAGATTTTATAGATTCTCTGGGTCATTTAATTTTCTTATAAATTTGTCATCAGCTCATCTTAAGTGCAGAGGAGCTTGGATTTGTCAGGTACCTTAGAGATTCTGCAGTTTCTACATGTCAGGGGCTGCATGGGGCTGCATATTTTATAGCAGCTTTCAAATACCTGAAGGTGGGTTTGAAAGAGGATGGAGCTTCACTGTTCTCAGTGGTGGCAGATGTCAGAACAAGGAGCAATGTTCTCAAGTTGCAGCAAGGGAAGTCTAGGTTAAATATTAGGAAGAAGTTTCTAACTAGGAGGTTAGTAAAACAGTGAAACAGGTTACCCAGAAGGTCCATCCTTGGAGGTTTTCAAAACATGGTTGAACAAAGCTTTGGCTGGGATGATCTAGTTGGAGATGGTCCTGCTTTGAACAGGGGGTTTGACTAGATGACCTCCAGAGGTCCCTTCCAACCCTAATTTTCTATGATTCTATGATTTTAACTAGGTCTTAGAATAAAGTTGTTCCTTTAGAATATTGAGTTAAAGCTGGCAAAATTAAGCCTAGGACTTGTTGGGGTGCATGGAACTGGAGCTCTGAAGGGGAGCAAGGCTAGAAGCTATCAAAAGTGGCTCTTCATAGATTTCATAGACATTAGGGCTGGAAGGGACCTCGGAAGATCATCGAGTCCAGCTCCCTGCCCAAAGGGCAGGAAGTCAGCTGGGGTCATAGGATCCCAGCAAGATAAGCATCCAGTTTGCTCTTGAAGGTGTTCAATGTAGGCGCTTGAGCCACCTCCGGTGGCAGGCTGTTTCAGACCTTGGGGGCTCGGACAGTAAAGAAATTCTTCCTTATGTCCAGCCTGAAACGGTCTTGTAGTAGTTTATGACCGTTCGACCTAGTTGTCATCCCTTGGGGTGCTCTGGTGAACAAACGTTCCCCCAGATACTGGTGGTCACCCCGATAAACTTATAGGTGGCCATCAGATCACCCCTGAGCCTGCGCTTTTCCAGGCTAAAGAGCCCCAGGGCTCTCAGCCTGTCATTGTAGGGTCTGCTTCCCTGACCTCTGATCATGCGCGTGGCTCTTCTCTGGACTCTCTCAAGCTTCTCCACATCCTTTTTGAATTGTGGAGCCCAAAACTGGACGCAGTATTCCGGCTGCGGCCTCACCAAGGCCGAGTACAAGGGGAGAATGACGTCCTGGGATTTGCTTGAGAAGCATCTATGGATGCAAGCCAGCGTTTTGGTCGCTTTACTAGCCGCAGCATTGCATTGCAGGCTCATGTTCATCTTGTGGTCAATGATGACCCCCACGTCTCTTTTTTCCATAGTGCTAGCCAGCATAGCACTGCTGAGCCTATAAGGATGCTGCGGGTTTTTCTCTTACTTTCCTCCTCTTGCTGTTGTCAGAGGGAAGGGTGAGGTTGGGGGTGGGGGACAGAATAGCACTTTTTCTCCCTGAAGTTAAATGTTTCATAAACTTCTGCAAACAAGTGACCTAAAGGTCTTAATGTATGACTCTTTCCATTTTGCACCCCCTTTACTATTCATGGGTGCCTTTGCATGTCCCAGGTGAAAATTTTCTCATTCAGTAAACATGTGCTTGCAAACCTAAGTTAGGCATTGGTTGATTTTATAATGCACTGCATAGTGCAACCAAACAGCCACTCTTACTTAGTATTTATAACTAAAATATATAGATATATATGTACTTGTACATATTTATTGTATATACATGTGTGTGTGTGTAGCATAAAGTGGAGAATTATTCTTTAAATACATTTTCTTTATTGTAGATGTTTCATTTTGAAAGGTTTACAGCAAAAGGAATTACAATAATATACTCATTTAAAGAACTTCAAGAAATATTAAATAATTAAAGATAAGAAAATAGTGATTTGTAAGATATGCATATTTCAGCATTCAAAATATTGTTTAGTTTCTCACATCTAAATTCATCTTCCTAGGAAGAACAAAGTATGTTAGCAATGGAAGATGAGGGAACAGTTCAGTTACCATTAGAAGGACATTACAGGTAAAATATATATTTGTTTTTTATTACTTTGCAAACATCAGCAGAGCACCAAGCAATGAAATAAAACTTTATCTGGGCACCATACATCGTTCCTCAGTCTTTTGTGACATACACTCCCTATCCTTTTACAGTGGTTTTAAAATACTACAGCATGCACTTGAATGTGGTAGAATATGGTCTAGACTATGGGTTTCCAACGTGTGGCTGCCAAATGTGGCTCCTGAGCCCCTTTGCTTCAGCCTCTCACCCATGCTTGCCTCTTTGACATGGCTCTTCAGGGGCAAAACTTTGGGAATCCCTAGTCTAGAGTAATGGCATCTAAACACTGGTCCACAGCCCCCTGGTGCTTCATGAAGCCATAATTGGTGGTCCATGGATCATATTCCCCATCCCTTTTCAAATCAATTTTGAACATAGAGATGCATGTTGTTCCAAAACAAATTTTGAGTTGACAATAGGCCCACGTAGAAAATTGATCAGGGCGTTAGGAGCCAGGAAGTCCTTGGCTTTAGTTCTAGCTGCGTCATTGGCAAGCTGGGTAACTTCTTTGTTCCTCATTTTCCCCATCTCTATAGTGGTTATGACATCTGTTTACCTTACTAAGATGATCTAGAGTGTTTTTCATGTTTTTAGAGTGTATAAGGAGTAAAGCATAAAATAAGTGCTATGGAATGTTTAAGTATTATAGAATGTTTGCTAATACTGATCTCCTCATGATCCTCAGTTTTAACATCAGTTATTATATTGTATAAATGTATTGTCATCACTAATGGCCAAGCACTTTTGCATGGTGTCTTAGATTATGAGTTTGATCACACGGTGTTATATTGAGTATTCATGGTGTTTTCCTGTCTAGAGATGATCCATCTGTAATAAACATTTCTGATGAAATGGCAAAAACTGCTGTGTGGAAGACCCTGCTGATATCTTCAGAGAATGCAAAGGATAAGGAGTCAAGCTTTCCCTCTAAAAGGTTTTAAATTTTAGTCATCAATATATTAAGCCTTGTGTACTGGTGCAAAGTAAAAATTTGATCTTTAACTGAAAAATTAGGGAATAGAAAACATCTTTAGCTAAAGGTAAGATTTGAAGAATTATTTATTTGAAAATGTCTAATTAAATATTCTGAGCTGCAGTAATACACTATCCCAAATAGTTGCTTGTTAGGGGATGCTACAATGGAAAAATACATGCTTCAGCATTCCTGATACCTGTGTAGCAAACCATAGTCACATAACAATTGGAAACAGTGCAGCATCTGTTCTAGTTCTGTTTTGAAATAAAAATATGATCATTAATATGATGGAAATCTTCACAGTCAAATGCAATTAGAACTAACATGAGTTATATGTTTACATATAGAGCAGAATATAGCCCCTAAAATCACAGCAAAAATATAATTTATTCAATATATTTCCATTTATTTAAAACTCACATTTAGAACAGGTAAACATTTTCCCCATTTAGCATGAAGTTTAAAGTATCCAAGTTTATTGAAAAATGAAGAAAGGTTTATTTTTGTCAATGCCATAAAATACTAATATGAATAATTATGAAATATGTGCAGCATTACTATAACAAATATCTACCTCTGTTTCCATAAGTTTTAAATTAACGTTATTTTCTACTTAATTGTCTCATATTACATTTCTATCATAAGCTCCCCTTCCTAATCACCCTAGAAGCTGATTCCCCAAAGGTAAGGCCCTATCCCTCAACCTACTTCTTGATTGCGTATTCCTATATTAAGTGGTGTCTTCTGGGAACCCAGCTGACTCTACCATATGTAATTTTTGGGGAGACAAAATGAATGGAAAATTAAGCAATCAGTGTTACAGTGTTTCTGCTAAAATCATATTATTTTGTGACAGTTGATATTACAAGCTGTGTCTTGGAATATTTTTTTAAATGTCTCCATATTCAAAGTTTTTAAAGAATACACTAAATTTACCCTTGGTGTACATGTTTTTCTTTCCTGTATTAGTCTTTTATATTTTAATTTAAAAAAAAAAATCTGAAATTTCTAAATCCTGAATTCAGCTTCAAACAACTTGAAATATCCACATTTTTATTCCTACGGCAAAAGATGAGGTAAGGGAATAAAACAGAGTTAGTTGTGGTCCTAATTTTTGTCACCCCAAAATAGCATGCCGCTTCTTCAGTGTCATTCCTGTCCATAAACAGCATAAACAAGATGAACGGTATGAATGGTTAATGACCAAATAGTTTTCATCTCCAGCTCCCTTGTGTGTTTCATTTTAATACTAAGTTATTATCAAATATACTCATAGTGGAGACTGTGTTCTGTCTCCCACTTTCCGTGTAGGCTCAGAAGGCCCTAATCACTATTAAACTTCTGGGGCCCCTCTGAACATGAGCAAAAGGCATAGTTTGGCTGTTCAGGAGAAAACTCCCTACCCGTTTGCAGTTGTGCCTGCCAGATTGTGAAGGGTTGGAGAAGAAGCAGGGGTGGTCCCCTGACCAGAATTCCAATTTCAGGTATGGACAGACTGAAATTTCAGTGACTACAGTCTTGAGAGTAGATTCTTTTACCCTCCATTTCTAGAGCAAGCCTCATTCACTTGAATTGCATGTAGGGATCCGGAGTTTGGCTCATAATAAAAAAAAATCTGTTTATCTACACTTTTAAAAATAAGCAATTGTGTGTGTGTGTATGTGTGTGCATGTGCGTGCATGCATGTCTCTCAATACATATATATAACAATAAAAAAGAATAGTCATTTCAAAATTATATGAGCCACATTCTCTGCTGGTATATAATGGTGTATTTGGTAACATGGAGCAGGTAACTCGGGAGATAATTTAACCTTGGGATTCTAGTAAATGAGAAATTTAGTGTGTCTTGATATTTGTTAGTACTCTTTTTACTTAACCTAAAATTTAGAGTTTGTTTGTGATGTTCTTACTCATGAGATTTAAATTATGTAAGAACTAATGGGTTCTGTTAGTTCAGTTGGTTACAGTGTGGTCCTAATAACAGCAAGGTTGCCTCCCTGGTTGGACTAGATGACCTCTTGAGATCCCTTCCAGTCTTACTTCTCTATGGCTAAGTACAGACAGTCAAAAAGCCTGAGGCTGAATTGACTCAGTCTTTCCAGGTTAGTTTAAACTGCAGACATTAAACTGAGAAACAAGTGGACAGACTTTCACTTTTGATTCAGGAAAAGCATCCATATGCCTCAGACCAGAAGCCAGGGGCCACTTGAGCATGGCTTTTGGCACATAGACAGTATGGGTAGTGTGTTTACTTCCCCTTCCTGCTGCCCCCGAGGTCTCTGGGATTTGCAGTCCAGAATAATATGAGTAGGACTCTGCAGGGTTGCTCATCACTTTCTCTTTCTACTTCCAGGTACCTCTGGGATTTGTAGTCTACAGTTGCAGCCAGCAGTAAATTTCTAGCAGGGCAGGGCAGCTCTGTACTCGGGAAGGGAAGTTTAAACCCCTTCCCTAGCCCCAGACTCCAGGTAGGGTTTGCCAAGGGGGTGGGGGGCAGTCCCTGCCTCCCCCTACCCCACTCCCCAGTGCTGGAAAGCAGGCTGGGATGCTGGGGGACTGTGATTTAACTTGAATCAGAAAGGGGTCTGGGACAGAAGTTTCATAAACCAGTTTGATGCAAATCGGTTAAGTTGATACTACATTACGCCAGGTTTATCCTAAATCAGTGTCAGACAGCTTGCTCTGTAGCAACTGGGTAGGCAGATGCACAGGCAGAGCTGCACTGTGCAGACCAGCTCATTCCCTCCAGTACTTTCATGCCCTCAGGGCTAGGAGGAGGCACTATGGGGATAGTTTCCAGCATGTGAGACCTTGCAGAAACAACCTCAGTAGCAGGAGCTGCCCTTGCTTCCTGCAGTTCAGGTCAGGGGCTGGGAGGGGGCAAACAGGGGAAAAAGCAGGGCACAGCAGGGCCTTCCTTCCCCATCTTTAAGTGGCAGTAGCTAGATCAGAAATTCTCAGCTTTTTTAGCCTCAAGCCCTGCCCCCCAAATCTTTTCTTAATTTAGATCTATCTCAGTGATTGTCAACTGGGATACTATGAAATTCAGAAAAGTGTGCTGCCAATTATAATTCAGAAAAAGTCTGGCCCAAAATCAAAATTTTGGGAGATCCCAGCCTAGGGTCATGTCCAGTTTCTATACATCTGTTTCTGCCATGAATTTATCAAGATTCATATTGAAACTGCTTAGATTCCTTGTCTTACTACCTTATTTGGAAGGCTGTTCCAAACTTTATACCTATAAGGTCAGAAACCTAATGTCCTGTTTAAACTTATTCATGGCCAGCTGGTATCTACTTGATTTCTTTATCTTTCTAGGTACTTAACTCCTGAATCATCCTCTCTAAAGCCTTCATTTTTTATGGCTAAATGAATCTCTTCTCTCCAGTCACAGAGTTTCCATTCCTTCCTCATCCTAGTTACCCTTCTGTCCATCTGTTTTCACTTTTAATCCATTTTTTCAGAACTAGATGGGCAGAACTATACATAATATTCTAAATGAAGTAATAGGTGTCTCATATGATGATACTAACACTTCCTTCTGCTAAAAATACCCACCTAATTGATCCTAGGATTTCATCACACCAAAGAACTTAGTAAAGGAGACCTTTTCTTGTAGGCAATTTATTGAGGAGCTAAAATCCACTCAATGTTAGCTGTCAGATGAGATGCATCATTGGCACTATTTTTATTGACTTGTCTACACAGGGAGATTAGCATACAGTAGATGCGTCTACACCAGATGTTACTGCGCAGTTGCTTAATTTACTGCGCAATAATAGTTTCATAGTTTCATAGTGGGTAGGGTTGGAAGGGACCTGAGCAGATCATCAAGTCCGACCCCCTGCCATGGCAGGAAAAAGTACTGGGGTCAAACAACTCTAGCAAGGTGTTCATCTAACCTCCTATTAAAGACCCCCAGGGTAGGAGCCAGCACCACTTCGCTTGGAAGTTGGTTCCAGGTCCTAGCTGCCCTGACAGTGAAGTAGTGCCTCCTAAAATCTAGCCTGAATCTACCCTCTACCAGCTTGTGACCGTTATTTCTAGTCACTCCTGGTAGTGCTCGGGGGAACAGGGACTCCTCAATGCCTGCTGGTCCCCTCTGACTAGTTTGTAACAGGCCACTAGATCCCCCCTCAGCCTTCTCTTGTGGAGACTGAACAGGTTCAGGTCCCTTAGCCTCTCCTTGTAGGGTCTGCCCTGCTGCTCCCTGATCATGCGGGTGGCCCTCCTCTGAACCCTCTCAATGCTGTCCACATCCCTTCTGAAGTGCGGCACTCAGAACTGGACACAGTACTCCAACTGCGGCCTGACCAGTGTCACATAGAGGGGGAGGATCACCTCCTTGGACCTGCTCGAGATGCATCTGTGGATGCATGACAAGGTACGGTTGGCTTTCCTGACCGCGTCCCCACACTGTCGGCCCATGTTCATTTTGGCATCAATAATGACTCCAAGATCCTTTTCTGCCTCTGCACTGACGAGAAGGGAGTTCCCCAGCCTGTAGGTATGCTGCTGGTTCTTCCTCCCCAGGTGCAGCACCTTGCACTTGTCAGTGTTGAAACCCATCCTGTTCTCATCTGCTCACCCTTGTAACCTGTCTAGGTCCAATTGCAGCCTATTCCTCCCTTCTAGCGTGCCCACATCCCCCCACATCTTAGTGTCATCAGCAAATTTGAATAGGGTGCTTTTTACCCCCTTGTCCAAGTCACTGATGAAGATGAACAGTGCAGGTCCGAGGACCGAGCCTTGGGGGACCCCACTGCCCACATCCCTCCAGGTCGAAAATGACCCATCCACCACAACTCTCTGGGTGCGACTCTCCAGCCAGTTAGCAACCCATTTGACTGTGTAGGTGTCAACACCACAGTCCCCTAGTTTTTTAATGAGAATGGGGTGAGAGAGCATCTACATGTGTGCATGAGCATCTACACATATGCAATCTTACTTCACAGT